TGAAGGAAACAATCGTGAGGAAACCGGCTTGCCTTAGACCCAAAAAGTCGGCTGCGTGTTAGGCACAAGAGGCTAATCATCTACTTGCCTATTTGATTGACAAATTATCATGAAATAGAGACAGATATCTGAGACCCAGACCTAAATAAAAAGCATGTAGCCGAATACCCGAAGAAGGTGGTTTACAATTTACTGTGCATTTTTATGTTTTTTATCTATGATATAATAATAACAATAAACAATTAGAAAAACTAACTTCCAGATAACGTAGACGGAGATTTCAAAAACATTATTAATTTCTAATCAAATTTAATTTAACGCGGTTTAAAAAGACCAGGGTAGAACACTTTAAAAATAATAAAAAGTGACAAAAAATTGTAGTAGGATGAAACCCATTGGAAAAAGAGGAGAATATTATAAAAATGAAAGAAAACCGTTTTTTAACCTTGAAAACTCACCCCTTCCCTTTTCCGATAGCCCGTAAATTATTTTTCCTTTCATTTTTATAATATTCTCCTCCTTTTCCAATGGTTTTCATCCTACTATTATTTTTTTTGGTTTCTAAAATTATCGACCCTGGTCTATAAGGCGTGAAAGACATAGTTACTTTCGCTTTTCTAATATCAGCAGGGATATCTTCTCATAATAAATCTCATTTATCTTTATATGCATTGAAAGCTATGTTACAGATATAAATGTTTCACCCCAGCAATGCTACATCAAGTTGACAATGTTATGTTAATTAATAATTATATTACTCATCATCTTATTATATATCGGCTGTTACCACAAACTGCAACCATACATATCAAATAATCAATATATATGAAAAAATTCAATTTTTTATCAGTATTTAAACTCACCATTCTCCAAGGAACGTCCTGTTAAACATCCACTAAATATTTAAACGATTCCATTTACAATGTACACTGAAAGCCTTGCCCTATCAAATGGGATGGAATTTTGTAATTAGAAATGTTTTTCTCATCCGTTTCGTATACGCTATCGTTAATGAATTACCTGCGTTGCATTTTAGTTTCTTGTAGTTGTACAATGGTGTTGTTATTTATCTATAATGCACAATAACTATACATACAGAGATATGTTTAACACTTAAAGGTCGTTGAGTAATGTGACACAATTAAAATATCATTTATTCATATCGGTAACGCAATACAGTGTACATTGAAATTATGAACGTTTAAATCTAAAGTTATTGCCAGTTCTAAAATCAACAACGGATGAGATGAACTGGCAATAATCTCTCCGTCGCTCTTTTAAATTGTGTGGTTAGACAAAGCATAATTTTAGTACGATATTGGTCACAGTGCAGGTAACGGTTTTAAGGTTTCTTGAAGGATGGTTTAACTGAAACGAATACTTCTTACTTAAACATTATGAATTACATTTACGTCTTATACAGTCAAACTGCAATATCTCTATACATATAGAACCGTGTTACAATGTTCGTTCCCATACTCCTCTGAAACGGCCCGACCTATTCTTATGAAATGTTTTATGCATATTCAGTAAGTCTGAGAATCGGCTACTATCTCAAACCACTAAGTAATAAGGGTTTTTTTTTTTGTTTTTTTTTTAATGATATAACATACAAAAATACATACACCCTCTAATTTTCACCCCTCTACAATAAACCCCTTTTTTATTATTGTAGATAATTATTTTTATTGAACTAAAAAATGTTTCCTAGAAATGGCAAAACTAACGTTTGCCGGGTTAGTTAGTAACCATATAATATTTATCATAGACAATTCTTGTGTAACGCTCCACATTGTTCTGTTATTTTGCTCTGCCAATTAACTAAAAATAGGCGCAAAATATTTGTAGCAACAAAACATTTAATTATTCGAACATTCACTTCATATTACTCGTGCGATCGCACGCGACGCGATTGACGTGAATGCAAACTAATTCCGATACTTTAATTCGATTAAATTCCAGCAAAGTTTAACGTACAAATTAGTAATGTAGTAGAATTGATTCCAGCTCGCGGAATAATGATGGCGCAATAAATATCCATTAGCTAATGAGTGGGAATAAGCGGCAGGCAAGTTGAGGGCTATTTGTACATACATTTTGTGAGGGTTTTATTATTGTACTTAACACGTCGGTTCTTATTGGGAATGTTATGTCAGTTTGAACGACACGTAACGTGCAACTTGTTTTGAATAGATATTTATTTCATATAAATAGGTAGTTCGTTTAGCTTTACAATTTCGGAATACCACATATACGGTTCAAATAGATAAACTTTTAACAGATTAACGTAAAAATTAACCAAGTACGGTATTATTTAATCATATGGGTTAAGTAAGTGAAACGTTTAGCGATAAAAACTCATGGTTACTTCATGATATGTGTAATAAAGTGTTCATTTTTCACCGTTAAAGCCACTGAAGCATTATTGTTGACACGCCAGGCTGGCCCAGATTATGTATAGGCCAGAAGTAGATTATATAAGGGATTGAAAGCTACGCTTTCGTGGTTATTTTAAAAATAAAGCTCTGAATTGAATCAGTGTTAATAGATTCTACATAAACAATTTAACATAAAGTAATATTTTTAAAGCATTAACTAAGTTCTATTGACTATTGACGTAAGTCCATTACAAACGCGAGGCTTTAACGCACGTTCTCTGGATTTATAATCGCAATACCAATAGGCTACATGATACCTATTCCTATTCCAAAACATTCTTACAAAATAAAAATACGTGAACGCGAATATTCCAATCGCTTGTAAGCTCATTCCCACGCGAGTTTCACATTGCATACGTTGTTGATTTTTATTGAAAGACTACACCTTTACTGATACTGAATATGGGAAACCGAACTATTATAGAGAACACAAATAATATTGTATGGCCAGTGTAACGTAATTTTAGCGAATGGAAACTCGTTTAAAACTGAATTTATTTTTATTGAAGATGAACATTGTACAAACACTATACTTGCTTCAAGACATGGGTTTGCAAATAGGATTTACTTACTAGATAGATGAGGTGTAACCAGAAAAGGAACATGTTAAAATGTCTGACTCGAAAAAATAGCTGAAGCGCCGTAAAAAAAACGACGCCATTCTAAAAAATATTTTTCATCGGTCAAAAATTCTCAAGTATAATTATTGTTACTAGCTCCTATTAAACAGTTCTAAAGAATTTTGTGTTCGAATTAAATGTTTTCATTATTATTGACAATCGTCGGTTATAAAAACTTGTTAACATTACTGTCTCAGTTTCATAAATATTCAGCGTACAAGGTCTTTGACCTTTTACATTTATAATAAGAAAAAAATAATGATTTAGTTATTTAGCTATCAGAATCATTATTATAAGTAGACGCTTACATAAGAAAATTTATATCATAAATCTAAATAGCTAAAAAATAAAAGCATTATTTCGACTCGACCGCGTTTCACTTCGCGTAGTTCAAATATCACGTACCGCTACGTCTTAAAGTTGAATCAATAGAGTCCGGAGTTCGAGCCCTGTAGGCCTTATAATAACATATTTCCGTAGGGCTTATAGTGATTTATGCGAGGTGTCAATGCGATTAGCATCAAAGAGCCGGTGCGGGCCGTTTGGCGCATTTCAATTACTACGCCCGAGTGTTGCCCGTTGAATAATGCATAGAGGAACTTTGATTGAAACGTTTCGGACCCGTGTTGGTCTTAATTTCAGCTTGTTTGATTGCTTATGTAAGTTGGGTAATCGTTGTGATTATTAGCTGTTAAAATTTTAATTATTTTAGTCACTTAAGACGACGATTGGAGGTGTGATTCCCAATATTGACAAGATGTTATCCAAGCCGTCTTTGCGACTCTCTTTGGTAACAGTATTTGCGACTGTGATGACGAAGAATGTTGTTAGAATACTGACATATCTTAGTTTATCAGAAACGTTGGCTGATGACCTACTGATTAAAACGTATCTTTAAACTAAATGCTGGAATGTCTCTGTCCTATCGAGAGCTACAGGATTTAATACCACTATTAGTGTGAATCTTTAAAGCTACTATAGATGTCTATAATGTAAGTATTTTGTTTAGTAACGATTATATAAATGTGGAATTAAGAAAAATAACGTTCCAAAAAGCAATATAAGTCAAGATTTGAAGTTGAGAGGGGAACAGAAGTGGAAAGCTGTGCAGGAAGTGACACCGGAAGTAGCGAGACGGCGGCAAATACTCCATCCGGTTGCTGTTAACAAGTCCTCTTCTCAGTTCAAATTAACTCACTAGATTTCAGAGTACATGAGTAATGTATGCTTTTATGTAAATTACACGAAACGTTCTAATTATTTTTTTTTATACAAGCTTTAACAAATATTAATAGTGGTGGTGGAAGACTATTTATAATTAAACTTTGTTGTTTAAATGGATTACGTCAACAACTAAAACAAACCGAAGGTTCTTGGTTCGATTTCAAGTAAAACAATGGAGCTTGGATTTTGCAAAAATGTAAAAAAAAAACTAATTCATAAACGGATCACAGCATGAGGTGCTAAGAACGAAAACTTTCAACCTTTCTTATTTTTTTTAAAGTGGCATAAAAATTATACTTAATTATATTTCTCTCCATTCTCATTGCAAATACCTGCAGCATCCCTCAAGAGATATATATCGACCACGATTAATTAGTTCTCATGTGTTTAACGGATAAAAAGGTTTGTTCAAATGTGTCCATGCGCAAATTAAACACAATATTGACCTTCTGACCTGAATTCTTTTGTGTTTGCCGTAATTGCAAAAATATAATAACAATCATCTCTTACCTGATCTCGACGCGCTTGGAATTTCAATTTACCCTCATATTTGCATTAGCTCCTTGTGTTCGATGTGAAACAGCCAATTTAAATTAATTAGGAGTCTCCTTGTAAGATTAAATATCTACATAATAAGAGGTTTGAGTATACTAGGGTACATTATTTATTAAAACATGCCACCACATGCATGTTTTTCGCTCAGATTGATATTTAAAGAATGGGCGATGTACCAGGCGTCACGGCCGGGGCGTTTAACCCGGCGGTAGGTTAAATTCTTAATGAACTAATAATAATGGTTTCGAATTTCTAGGTATTAAAAGCTTATCCTATACCTACTTATTTATAAACAAAAGGGATTAGGACGAACCTGTGTTTATCATTCTCAAAGTTACGTAAGAATATTTATAACCAAATTCCTAATTATTTATTTTTACATCCAAAGTGTAATTGTCGTTTTAAATTTATAATCTTTCGTCTTTTTAAAGTAATATTTGCATAATTACTCCTCTCGTCTTACTTTTAGAGTAGTCACCGTTTTTTTTTTATTTTTATAGAAAATGGGGCATTTGGGCAGGAGGCTCACCTGATGCTGAGTGATACCGCCGCCAATGGACACTCTCAATGCCAGAGGGCTCGCGAGTACGTTGCCGGCCTTTTTGATAGATGCCAAGGGTCATATGACTTCGTTTCTAAAATCAAAACGGACAGTGATCATGAAGCTCGAACTCGTAAATATTAGATTTTAATTAATGAATATCAAAGTAGCGTTTATGTTTATATTTCTGTTTGAGATTTATTTCAAACCACATTCATGAAAATTAAACAGAAATTCGTTAATTATTTATTTTAATGATACGAATACATCGAAGTAATTATTTTCATAGTGAACCTGAACGTGTTATTAATTATTATTTCTTTTTTAACTTCACATGTTCCTTTGGTAAGTTAAATTTCAATTTTATTTTCTGAAATCTTTTTTCGTATATTTACAATATTACATTCATACGTTTGTATAAGTTTGTGATAGTCTGGTAGTAGGTATGTGCTTTGTTTTCCTTCTCTACTTTTATAGCAAGGAGGTGGCTGCGTCATACTTGTTGTAGGGCGTCATGCTATTTATTGGTTATTTATTTATTTATAAGTTCTTAAACAACGTGTATGCATAAAATTATAGAAGAAAGTATGATATCACACATTTTACACACACACACATAAATTATATTAGAACATAAGCAAGCAATAATAACTACAAATGTAATCATAACAAAAACTAAAAAATGAATAAATGATAACTTAAACTAAATAAACCTCATTAAGAGCAACATAAACAAGGTGACGGTCAGCTGGAAGATTGTTGTAAAACACATCAATAATTTCATCGATGTTAGTAATCAAGTTGTAAGAACGAGATAGTCTATTCACTGAACCATTAAAATAAGCAGATAAGCGAGCCGAAGGTACGTATTGAAGACTTTTAGTTCTAGCAACTCTAGTTGGTAAGTCCCACAAATGTGGACGAGAATCTGAGCCCTAGATATGCACAATTAGATTTTTTCATGTACACATGTTTGTTTTAGGCTCAAGTCTCATTTCTGTATTTGTGACTTTTACCATTTGTTTTTTTTATAAGGCAAAAAAAAATGGTGTCATGCATGTCTCATGGTGTTTTACTTCACTGTACGGCACGTCTTAGACGTTATGATCGACGATGTTTATCAGGCACACTCTTTGTACCTTATAACATGTATCACATACAAACAACTCATCGCTATTATTCTATAAGGAAAAGCATGCATAGATATATCCACTAAAAATACAGAATGCAGTGCCACTAGAAATATTATGATTGTCATATCTACACTTTGTAACCAGATCTCTACCTATTTGAAATTGCGTTCCATTATATGTTTCTACAGCAGCAGTATAATTAAAAATATATTTAACACAACCTGCCCCCGCGAATTTCGTTTCTCCTTAATGCCTAGCCTACCTTTTTAGGTATATAAACATGGAACATTTTGCTATGCTACCCCAGAGACTGTTCGGTTTTCCGGAATGGAAACTTTATAGGTTTTTCTGTCATCTTTTTACCTCAGAGTCCAAGTTATAAGTTCTTAACTAACAAATAAAAAAATGGGGTTGATTATAGAGGGTAGATGAAAATTAAGGGTTGTATATATTTTTGTATGCTGTATCATATAAAATAAAAACAAAAAATGTTGTCTAAATAATAAATAAAAAAATTGGGGTGGACACCCCTCTCACTTAGGGGTTTGATACCTAGTAGCCGATTCTCAGGCTTACTGAATATGCATAAAAAAATCATTTGAATCGGTCGAGCCGTTTCGGAGGAGTATGGGAACGAATATTGTGACACGATAGTTTTTATATATTAGATTACCGAGTAGTTTTCATATCAATTACACAGTTAATTCATCAAATTAAATTAAAACAACAACCTTTTATAATTGTGCCTCTTTCGTGATCACTTGTTTGTTAGATAAGTATCCCTTACTAACTTGGGTCTAAAGGTTTCCTCACGATGTTTTCCTCCTCGGTACGAGTGAGAATTTAATTTACCTCCAAAAAGTCCATTGGTGCCGACGAACCTACGACCTCAGGGATGAGATTCGCTAAAGCCTTTAGGCCTAAACTGTTATTACAACATATTAATATACATTAACCTAAATGCTATCTAATCATAGTTTACTACTTAAAGTTGATGTTTAACAACCACTATTTAGCATTCCTAATCCTTTCACAAATATGACACATGCTAGATCAGAGTTATGTTACGGACGGGACCTTGCTGACGTAGACTAGTTCGATATTGGACTTCGTCCAACTCGCCTTCTATCTTTTTTAGGTTACTTCTGTTTATATAATTATTCAGAATTAACCTGAAAATATTCCCAAAAAAACAAAGCTATTTAGTTTGCAGGATTCATAGGTCCACAGACTCCAGTTAGTTGTGCCATTAATTAAGACTAAAAACAGTTCACTGTCGTCTCGTAAATTCCACCCACCCACGGATACGGCTCATTACGCCTATCTAGCGTACTAATTTGGTACAGATTAGCGTTGCGGTACTCGCAGGTAATAAATATACTGGCGCGTGATTTATTTGTCATCCGGGCGTATTTCGCTACTGATATTATCTATTGGAATACAGTTAATCGAATACAAAATTGAGGACAGCTTAATTTCAGCGTGAACTGTGCGGCCATTTTCTGTTCTAATAATTAGTAATTTAAAACGTATTTTTTCACGCAATACGGACTAAAATCACTCGATGTAAACGTAAAACAAAAGACGAATGGGCGCTTAATTCTGATTGGTCAAGAGCATCTAGCTAGTGAAATACGCGTACACACGCGACATGTTACGTAAATGAGGACGTACGTCTTGCGTCTTTCATATTACATTCTCACCTTTGTCCTTTTAATGAAACGGGAATTAATTATTATATTATAGAAGCACAAATAATAGAATAATGTTAACAATTCGCGTTATTATTAACTATGTAGTAAACCAAAAAACTAAGTTATATATAGTACGGTTATAATTTAGTTTATTGATTCAGTTCACAATGTAAAATTAAATCTCCGAAATATCCATATTATCTCAGTGGTACCAGGAAATATGATTGTTCCAAACTTTGTGGTAAACATATGTTTTTAAATAAATCAATGAATATTACTTTGAAACGCCTGAACATATCTTAGATAAATTGTAGCCAATAATAACATTGATCATGTCAGCTTTGTAAAGAAGAAATTTAATCGTTCCATTTGTTTAGTTTGTGTGTCCAGCGCCACAGACCCAACACGTAAAACTTATAAAACTTCTTTCCTACGTTAGCGGATAAAAATATGCATAACGTACAATTATGAACGTCATTATAATATTAGTTTTTAATTTACTGCCAGTTCTCATACCAAGACTGTAAAGGAAACCATTCCTCACGCAAGAACATCTCCACCGCTCCAAGTTTGCAACCCCAAGTTTTTTATTTTGCAAGGTTTACTCTACTCTTGTATGGAGCTACAACCATACCGCGATGCATGATTGTGCATGTGAAATATAATTCAAAGTCCGATATAAAAAATATTGAAAAATATCAATTGCTTACAGCGCCATCTCTGCGATTTCACTGATACTACAAGGAGTATACTTTGTAAAGGCATAAGCTGGTTTATATTGATGTTCCAAGAGACATCAGTTACACATTAATACAGATAGATGTTAACACTTTCCTATATTATTCCTATCGTCATTAAGTTAAAGCATGTCTTAAAGTTTTCTCTTTGAATTGCACTGAACAACCCTAACAATTTTTTCAATTCGCAGGAGTTATGTAACCTAACGTTAGTTAAGACACGGAACTTAATTCAGGTCTAAAGTTTTATTTTTGTTCAAAGTATTTATGGTAATAATAATTATGTATTTGGTAATTCTATAATAGGTACCCGACCTTAGACGGGAGTCAGCGAAGGTGTGCCTAAAGATTAACTCTTCCAAGACTAAATCTATGACAAACATCGAAAAAACCAGACAACAACAACTACCAGTAGATATCTCATACCACTTTATCTATCTTGGGCACAAAATTTCACTGGGATGCGAAAGTCAATCTGAAGTCGACCGACGTATTTCGCAAGCATTGGAAGCTTTAGGACACTTCTCTCTAGCACTCAAAAGAAAGGTCTTCCATCAGTGTATCCCACCTGTCTTACTTATGGAGCCAAAACCGGAAGTCCGAGAGTGGCGCAGCGGGCGATGGAGCGTGATATGCTTGGTATCTCTCTTCGCGATCGCGGACAGAACGAGGCCAGTCGTGAAAAGACCACCGTAAGCGACGTAGCAAGGGCTGTTACTACATCTAAGTGGCGGTGGGCAGGGCACATAGCGCGGATGGATAAGAGCCAAATGACTCGCATGCTCCTTAACACTCATAACACTCATAACTCATAAATTCAGAGTCAGTAGTAGTACTTTTGATTGGACAATTCACACCAATTGACCTAGTCCCATGCTAAGCTGGTGAAGCTTGTGTTATGGGTACTAGGCAACGGATATACATTATACATACATATTATAGATAAATATACATATAAACACATATTTAAACACCCAAGACCTAAGCACAACATCAAATGCTCATCACATCGATGTTTGTCTCAGCCGGGGATCGAACCCGGACCCATGGATTCGCAGTCAGGGGTACTAACCACTAGACCAATGAGCCGTCAACGTCCTTGAATGACCCCGGTAAAACAAAAGAACGCGCGGCCACCCACCGACTAGGTTGTCTGACCACATCGTCAAGGAGGTTGGCTACTTGTAGTACAGAGATGCCAGTGCGCCCTGTACTTCAGGAAAATGGAGGAGTCCTACGTCTAGAAATGGACCAAATAAAGAGGCTGATGATGGTGATGATATTTGGGTAATTTTTTGATATTTTGTTGCAAAGAAGAGTAAATATTATTTTTGCACATACATACATTCCAGGATTCTAAAGCTTGCAAGCACTTCTAGCTCCTTGGCTTATACTGCTTCATAGATTAATATTATAAAATGCTGGAATCCTTTAAACATGTAGGGGTTTATGTATAGCGTGGCAACACTGTTTACTTTTTGACTTCATTCATTATTTATATGGGTCTGAGGACGCATCATTTGATTTCTGTTTGATGTCGCATAGGATCTGAAAGTATCGTATAAAATTCACGTATATTATGAGACCCTTATCAAGTTTAAAAAATGTCTTTCCTTTTAGTTCGTATTTTACTGCGACAGCTTCATTTTATGCTCTTTGAATTAGTAACAAAACATTGATCGAACATTTTACGACGAAAATTTTAGTGTTTCCAAGAAGGCTGAAAAGTTAATAATAAATTTTACCATTTTTATAAGGAATAGGAAGTTAAGTTTACTTACTTTAAAACTTACAATTAAAATGGAATTGAGGATAAATTTAAATAAGTCATTTTATACATATTATATTAAGTACATATTTATTTATTACAGAAACACATACATTATCCTTACAGTCTATGCCAATACGATAATATCAAGAAACATTAAATACATATAATATTAAACATAATATACACAATATCGCTACTGTGAATTCACTCTGCGAACATATAAATATGTCGATAGTGTTGGAAACAGAATTCAATAGGCGCAGCGTATTTGATAACAATGAACTGTGTAAGACTGGTTCTGGCCTTTGCTATCGCAAATAACCTGGGCTTTCCACGTCAGACATATCTCATATACAGGTACAAAGAAACTCAGTTCTTGGAGCAATCTTGGGTTGCACAGTACCCCTGCAAGACCCTCAGTACATAGTAGGCCAATTGTAAGTCTCAACTGTAAGTAATATGTTTTTATTTAAAACAAGCTGCTACATGAAATTAAGTCAACGTTATATATTCTATTTGATATGTTTTTATTGTAAATGAATGGAATAAATTTGGCCGAATTAAATATTCTGTAACAAAATTTTTATAAAAATCGGTTTTCACTTTAGATTTATACTTTAACTTTTTCAAATAAACTGAACATTTATCTCCTATTGCATCAGTATATTGGCACTTCGGGTAAAATAACTGAATTTTTTTTAGTACCACCCGCTGCCACATGTTTCTAGATAAATCTGTAGCCGTAGATTCGAACCCCGGCTGTGCACCAAGGAAACATGCTTAAAGTCAACCGCATGAGTCAGGCATAGAAGCTGATCACTTCGCAAAACATATAGGGAAATCTGACATAGGTGCTTGAAGCCACTGAATTTCCTTTCATGCCAATACAATAATGCGTGTAGGATGCTCTTGGAACTGCCTCGTTTCTGCAATGCTTCGGAGATGTTCGCCCAAGCCCGTACAAATGACTTCTGGGCTATTATTAGAATTAAAACAAGATCTCTGTTGAGCCGGGTACGAGGCTGTCGGAACAGCATCTTGAAGACTGTGACAGATAACCTGTCTTCGCCTATCATGAAGCATTTCGTGCGTACACTTGTCGGTTCAGATCGACAAGTGTTTTTATGTTTAGCTTTTTAATAATAATATATTAACACTAGTCCGTAAGTTTATACTAACATAATGATGCATTATTTTATCTGAACAAATAAATAAATAATAAATAATATTTTTTCTGATTATTGCAAAATCAGTACAAAGCGTATTTTAGGTATAGAATCCGGAAGTGTGTTAAATATAATAAGTAAGTTTCCTTATCCTCCGTTTAGTTGGAAATCGTACAATTCACATCGTATCGGAAGTGGATATATTTTCAAAGATAACTCATTAGGATTATCCTCAACTGACTAGAGAGCTCTTGATACAAGTGTGGGACTCATTTGCACTTTTGTTTAATAGAGTATTGACTATACAGAGGCTTTTGTGTGTAATGTGGTCGGGAGTTTAAGGAATATTTCCTCAACATCAGGTAATAACCTAACTTGCTCTATGAATGTAAGGGTCTTATTCTTTCGTTGCTTTATATAAGTACGTTTAAATTAAATTATTTAAATTCTGTAACTGTTCCGTAAATGATGCATTATCCTTCTTCAGTCGCATTCTTCATTTCTGAAGGTGGTGTTAGTGAAGACGCACAACTTCCTCCACTCTCCCCTGTCTTTGGCAAGCCTCTGGGTGATGGTTTTATCCTCGAGGGCCTTTACTTGATCGGTCCAACGAGTAGGAGATCGGCCTCGAGGTCTGGTGCCCTCCACTCTGCCAGTTACGATGTTTTTTTTCTAGACTTTCTGGATTTTTGCGTGTTATATTATTTATACAGCTTAAATTGTATACCACAACAGGCTTTACTTAACCGGAAACGAATATTGCTTCACCGGAAATCGAATCGAAGATATCTTTAATCGTCTTGTGTGTAGACTAAGAGAGATAAAGTTCTCAGTTCAACTTAAATGAAACTAAATGTACTGGCGATAGCACCCTAATTGGGTCTGGTCCATGATCATTTGTCAATGTAATAGGCAAGTAGGTGATAAGCCTCCTGTGCCTTACATATGCGGTCGACTTCTTAGGTCTAAGGCAAGGCGGTTTCCTCACGATGTTTTCCTTCACCGTTCGAGCGAATGTTAAATGCGCACATAGAAAGGAAGTCGGTGCACAGCCGGGGATCGAACCTATCACCTCAAGGATGAGAGTCGTACACTGAAGCCACTTGGCTAACGCTGCTGTAAGTTCAACTTAGAACCTTTTAACTTACGTGCTTCTTATTTACAAAGATACCTAAACCCTGAGACCCACGGTATGAAAATATCGTATGAAAGAAATTAGCACAGCCTCTAACATCAGAGAAAATTAATCTATTTTAATCTTTATATATATAATTCTTCTGTGAGTGTGTCACTGAACTTCTCTCAAACGACTGGACCGATTTTGATGAAATTTTCTGTGTGTGTTCAAGGGGATCTGGGAATGGTTTAGATTCACAAATCAGCCCGGCAGATGGCACTGCAGTCGGTACTTTCATACTTTGCTTAATATCCTAATCGCTTTAAATATCATGCAGGACAACGTCTGTGGGGTCCACTAGTTATATATAAAACAAATTAACAAACATAAATTGTCTACGAAATTTACATCATGTTAATGGAATCTACTGTATATTTGCGTGACAAATATTGTAAAAATACTATTATTTATTATATGAACTGCAAGCTAAAATAAGCTTTTTTTGAAGTAAGCAATAGCATTAGGCGCTTTGTTAAATTAAATTATTTCAAAACGTGTATTCATTTTGAGTTTAAAACTCTTCACATGTAAAAACTGTACAATAATAAGATAAGCACTGGACAGAAACCGGTGGAAACAGATAGTCCGCTCCAGATGTTTTCTTGCTCACTACGACGCTCAGACATTAGACAATAAACAAAGACCTGCATATTTGATCTAGTAAAGTAAGTAGTGGTAGATGTTCGGGTACCTGCTGCTGAGTTTCATCATCGGACGTCGAGACAGAATACGTTTCACCTTGATATCCGTCGTTGAACTATTAAGCGTTTTTTAGGCATATTTTGCCACGCAGCACCACTATTTGGAACCAGCTGCTCACTGAAGTATTTCCGAACCAATTCGACTTAGGTTCCTACAAGAAAAGAGCGTACAAATCTTAAAAGACCGGCAATACACTCGCGAGCCCTCTGGCATTGAGTGTCCATGGGCGGTGGTATCACTTAACATCAGGTGAGCCTCCTGCACGTTTGCCCCTGTTCTATAAAAAAAAGTAAATGTTTTTAATGATGATATTGATATATTATTTTATTTTTATCTTATTTATGCCGTGCAGCAAATCAACCTTCATGTAATTTATACAAAGCTTCTTAATCAAACGATATGACACCGGAACGTAAGTGGTGTAAAGTTATAAACTGTAAGATAACTAGGATAGGAACTCGGAGCCTCTACAAGAACTTTCTCTGTACTCCCATTATCTGCAGCTGTCTACCTATTAATTCCTTCGCTATCGGTTATTTAAACGGTCCATAATCAAATAGATAATTATTATGTATTGTATATGTTACTGTAAAAGCTCGAACTGCAGTAAATCCTAAGATATTCCAGTAAGACCTAAGATCTACCAATTCCTAATGGTAAATGTCCCAAAAGGTTTGCGAATCGAACTCTTACCACCATTCCGTTGGTAAATCTTAGGATTTACATTAACGGTAAATGTTGAAAAACAAAAAAATGCACCTGCAGATCATCAGGATTACTTTGTAATTCTAAATGCCACAATAGCAATCCGTGTTGTAATAAGTGAAATGTTTTTTTTAGGTACCTTATGTAGGTGAGATATTCAGAGATATACTTTATG